TCATCGAAACTTAGTGCTAGAATCACATTGATAGCTCGTTAGAATTTTTAATTTTTCTAGCTAGAATAAGACGGATATCTTGCTTTGGTGAATGGACATATACAATCATAACGTCATCAACTTACGTCACTAGAATATTACACAAGAGTAATATAGTTGTTTTGACATACGACAATTAACCTGTTCTGGGTCAATAAAGGATAGAATAACAACATCATCAATGTTTATTAATATCATTACACTTTGAACGTCGATATGGTACATATACATGTTGAACAATATCTATCACATAAGCAACCTGTCTCTTCAAAGTTGTGAATTTGAGAATTTGAATTTGATTACACTTTGGTTAATTTCTTCTATTATATAAAATAGTCATTATTTCATATAATAATAGTCAATGACTGGCTAGCTTTCAGTAGCCGGATTACTATTGACACACGGCTAAAAATATTTTACAAATTGACCTTGTAGTACTATTGTACTCTGTGAAAATGATGAAAAAACAATTTCCTCCGATGTAAATTCATCCATTTTGTTATAAAGACGTAACATTTTATAACCAGGTGTGGACCAGTGATATGGTACATACTTAATCCATGTTTAAACAATATCTATTCACAAAAGCAACCTGTCTCTATATCACAGTTGTGAATTTGAAAATGACATGTATCTTGGCATTCTGAGAGAACGGTGTAAGTTCAGGCCACGCCCTAAAGCCTCAATTGCCGGTCATGTCCGGAAGAATAACTTGGCCTAAATTTACACTTATGGACTTCAAAATGGTGAATTAAGATATCGCCAATAGCTCTCTTTCGTTAAATACTGATATAAAATACAACAGTACATGTATATTCATTCTTTACTACTTTCAAAGATTACCATGGTTACATTAGCAGTAAGCAACATCCTTTCATTGGTTGCTTTACCACAATCAATTGTTGTTTGAGACTATATTGGAACTGTTTGTCTGTTGTTTTCACTGTTTTGGATTGTTTTTTCTAATTTCATCTACTTGTTTACTAAAATATACAAATATACAATATATGAACATTATATGACGTCAATGTATTGGAAGCTAGTAATTTGGGTTGCCACCTAATTCTTTTAAAATGCCGGAGACATTAACCTCAAACTAATGGTTTATTTCATCGCCATGGCAATAGCAATGTTACAGGGCAACAGGATGAAAATCAGAAAGTAAACTAAAAGAATACATTGTTGTTATATATCAAAACACACCTACACAGCCATATATATCTAATTATCCTGACTAAGAAACGTTACAGAAAATATACAAGATAATAGCTTTAATTATAAGTAAAATTATCATGTGCAAGTGGTCACTGCACCCACTTGAGGATTGGAAAACAGGCTTGCACCCACCTGAAAATCCATTGCACCCAAATGACATAAAATGAAAGACATATCTTGGATGGTGAAATTGATCATTTTTCTCTTATGTTACTATGGCAATATAATGACTGGACATAGGAAACAATATTCACATTTCATCTCCAAGCGCAGGGTTCCAGACGTCATACACCAAGTTTTTCCTTCATCCAAAAGGAAGGAGTTACGAGTTCTGGAGGCCTGTGTAGCGAAGATATATATTCAAGCAATATGTTGTTGAGTTAGTAGTAAAGTATTGTTCAATTTGAAAGATGTATAAAATAACATCATAATAATGATTGTTACAATCTTGTCTGTAACATTTGCACATTTTTGTCATCCCTTAACACACTTTCACTCGGGTATTGTATAGCACTTGTTCTGTTGTACTAAAGTATCATATAAAAAAATAACAACATAAAACAGTGTATTCTTATAGATGGTCCCGGAATCCCTTGTTTTGTCCATCTTTGGACAGGATATACCTTCCAGATATAAGAGAGGACATTGAAAGATGATGTCGATAAAACAATGAATTCTGAATACTCTTCTTGGGTGATGCTTACAGGGAGAATATTCCAAATTTTCAAGTATACTATACAAGATATCTGAATTTCTAGATCATATAGAACTCAGAAAACACACGCGTTTAAACCTGTGTTTGCAGCACCACCTATTATCAGCCTCAGGCTCTCATGTCTATAAAACTTTATATATCTTAAATAACAAAATCAAGAGTTAACACTTGATAACATTCATGAACTATTCAGGAGCTATTCCCTCACAAGTCCAGTTCTTACCCTGCACAACAGGTGCAAGACAGTCATCAATATGAAACCCATCATCATCAAAATGATCCTTTCTACTACCAGATACAGCAAAGTCCATCAATCATCTGTGTTCTCTTCGTTATCTGAACTAGACCGGAAAATGGGTTCTCCTTCGTGTTTGTACGATCTCTGACCTCCTTAAGGAGACTTTTAAATGTTTTCGACATTTGGTCAGCAGTTTCCTCAACGTTGAAGTCACATGGTGTATTCCTAGGGGTTGTCATGTCAACGCCTGATTCCATACTGGTCCCGATGAAAGACTTTTGTGTTGTTTCTAAGGAGCCTTCTGATGAACAGTCACCAAATACTGAGGAAGCTCTTGATGAACATTGAGACCTGGAAACAAAACAAAAAATTTTTGCACAAACAAAATAAAGGCTGAATCACATAATGTGAGGGTTAACAAGATAAAAACATGACAAGAAGAATGCATGTCTCGTTTTATAAATTATGCTGTTTGCCTAAAAATTAAATCTAATCGTATTGTATCAAGTTCAGCTGATAAATGGTTTTATTGCTTTCTTGAGATGTCCACTCACACACCCATCAAGTTAACAAGACAAGATGACAATAATACAGCACTTTGTGTGTGAGAGGAAGAAAAGTTAAAACTTGCCAATAAAATAACTCTAGCAATTCAATGTAATGAACATGTTGAGGGGTCTGTGGCTTCATTTAACTTAGTTAATTTTTAGTGTAATATTTTTGGATTTTGTAAATTTTAGTGTAAAATATTTTAGGTTTTGCATTTTTTCTAATATTTTGGAGCCATATTGAATTATTGAATGAGCATTTTGGTATAATAATTAATTGAAGGTGCTGTACCTCATGAGATTTTAATGTACTGAGATGTGCCTCTTAAAATGTAACCAAAACAAATTGACACCCTAAAATTTCCACAAAAATGATCATCGGATGAAACCCCGGAGTAACCACTTTTAGATCTAATACCATTTAATCAAATCTCTAAAATAGAAGTCTAGCAAGAGCTTACCGTTTGCCAGTTAGACCGTCATAGAAATGGAGGGCACGTCGCCATATCTTGATTTGTGTGTCCCATGATCGCCTGCTACATTTCCTGTATTTATTAGGGGTCTTTGGGTGATCCCTTGTTCTCATCCCACTACAATAACAACATATATTATTTTTAATTTTATTGACAAGTACAAGATAGTAAAATAAATTGATGTTTATAAATGATCCATAAAATTGTTTTCCATAATTCTCATATGGTGGGCACTATACGCTGGGAGGTGATTTGTCCCAATGCTGTATATTCAATGTAGATTTGTATTTATGAAATAAACGTATTGATTTAAAATAAAATTCTAGAGAATAGGCGTCCGAAGCTCTTGAACAAAGTAACCACAACACTTTCAAATCAAAATAAGTTGTATGTTAATAACAACCTGCAATCTGAAAAGATGGCAGCACTAGGTGATACATAGACAGCTATTGTGATACAGCTAGTATTGAACAAATAAGTTGAAGTCATTTTGTAAATTGAGCGTATTAATCATACTTTATCTAAAAATAATTCTAGAATGTAAATAAAATTCACGTTTCTTACAATGGTACTAGTTTAACGTAGTTCTCGTATCCAACCGTGTTCTTGCCATAGCTAATGTGCTTCTCTCGTTTTGCTATCAGGACCTTATCTGTCTCTTTCTCCCTAAAGAGAAACATGTTATATGTTACTTTATGTTGATTATGTATTTGCCTTTATTTGTTACTTTAGATTGTGCTTACCCGTTCAAGTCAATTCATTTCCATTAATTACACGTGAGAGAAAAGGAGGAAGGGATTTGTAAAACTTGATGTGATATTTCGTAAAATGTTTGTACGATTTATGCTTGACTTTTGAATTTTAAATCGATAAGGATTATTCCTTTGCCAATGGAGAGATTTCGCAACTCACTTATAGCATGTTTATTATTCCCATATACATATAACTAAGTTATGAAGCGATATATTACGTCATCATTCACCGTGCAGCTCTATACGTCCTTAAGTGTGATATTCTTACAAAAAGACGCTTTATAATTAGTTTGAGTTTAATAATAGTTTATTTCTATGTCACAGCTTAACTAAAATACATGTGTTACAAAAAACCAACAGCCGACATCGGCTTACGAGACACCATATAAATATACAAAGATAATAACAATATCGCACTTATGGACATCAAAACCTGGTCAATAAATCATGATGATGTAATCAACAGTGAATTGCAAAATCTCTTTTATTCAGTGATTCTTCTTTATAATCCCCATATATATGTAAGTTAAATCTTACCTTTTTACTTCTTGCTTTTCTAGTTCCTCACATTCAGAGAGTTGGAGCCTACGCCTGTATCTGTTGAACTCTTGCTTGACTTGTTCTGTACTTTCTTCGTATTCCTCCACCTGTGCTGCCCAGTCTGTCGTGCAGGAAACCAACTTACGCAGATTGTTTGCAGATTCGGTGTCAATGACCTAGATGGATAAAAGAATATTTATTAACTATTATACTATATTCAGTGACATCAACAGGGGGCAATATTCTAATTTCACTTGTTCGGGTATTAAATATCGCAATATTTGAAGCATTGGAAGGGTGTTAACAGATTTTCAACTTGGTGGACCGTATTATGTAATTTTTGTTTTTTCGATTCCAAGCTGGGAAGATGACTATTTTCTAATATATAAATCTTTATCTTAACATCAACTTGTTACCAACATCAACAGTGTGGGTCATATCCACTCTACAGTAGCCCCAGGCAGATGTAAATATTTAGAGTCGAGTGTAAAATTGAAGTGCCCAACCACACTGTCTAACATGAAAAACATGAAAGCTTTCATAAAGCTGACATATTACTTTCTTTTAATGGCAACACTGTGGCGAGTGAAATTTTTCATTGGCGAGTGTGAAAACACAAGTCGATTGCCACTTGTTAACTGACAGAAAAATCCTAAGACCCACACTGCATCAAACATTATTTTTTCAATGAGTCAGAAGCCTCAAATGTTCTTTGGACTCAAATGACTGTTTACCCTAAAACATGCATACATTTGATCCTAAATATTCAAAATATCATTTTTGCATTTTCCTTGTTTGGAAGTCAATAAAATAAATTTTATTTACACCTTAAATAGATGTCACTGCAATTTTCATGTAACTGCTCATAAAATTCCCAGATTATTCAATGCATTCAACACAATAAAGCAAAGTGATTTATTGACAAAAAACAACAAAATTATAAACCTGACTTTCACCTTATCTCCAAAACAAACACTGTGTTTTACATTTTAAACTTGTAAACAGTCTACGCATTATGTTAAACACTTCTCCGAATGTCTTTAAAAGTATTAGCAGCATTTCCTTCAAAGAGACGGATCAAGAAACTAGTCTGCAATGATGATATAAAAAAGTGAAGTTCAAGAAACAAGACCTACCATATTCAGGACTTTTCAGAATTATTGTTACCATTTGAAAAACGCAATAATCACAGACCATTTTAGATATCAGTATAATCATTTTTCTAATAAATATTTCCTTTATCCCATGGATACTAAATATATATGTTGATAACAACACAAGATATTTTTGGTATGCGCCACTAAAATTGTATCCCATCCATATGATGTGATATCCAATCATATCCGACGGATACTAGTTTTTTCATTAGCTTAGCGCCAAAAATGGTTTGACAAATAACTGCCTTGCCTGATTGGATTGTCAGAATATAGTTCCAAGAATTATGTGCTTATCAAAATGATTCAAATGTTTTCATGCACTTTGTATAACGCCTTTTCAGTTTAAATGCTTGAGATTTTGAATTTTATGTGGTTACACTGATTTTATTGTGAATTATTATGTAGGCTTTTCTTGAAACATGATAACTCACTTTGGTAAAATTATTCAAAGCAAAAGCAGCAGCCATAGGATAAATAGGATATCCTATAATTTTCTTCGGCTATCATTTGTAAATCCACTCATAGATATCACCCATCTCAACTCATTCGCTGCGCTCATTTGTGGAGATAAGCGATATCGACTCATAGATAAAAATGATATCCCTCAAAAATCGTAGGATATCCTCTTTTTCTTCATTTATTGATTCATGATTTTATATGAAACTGAGCATATGAATTTGAGCACACAAATTGATTGCATGGTTCTTAAAATGTCATGCATACGAAGACTGTAAATTCGATTATATTGTCTGTATCTTCTTTCCTGGCCATCTGATGGTCACCTCCCTGGGTGCCTCAATGGAAGGGTATGGTACAGCTTACAGTCATCCTCCTCTCCAATTGGACCCTTCCCTGGTGGTTAGTAGGTCCCACGTATTCACAGATCTGGACAAGGGCTTCCTTTGATGTGACCTTCCACCTTGCAGTTTGTGGGAAATCATTGATCTCCAGTTCTTCCTCTTACTTTGATAGGCAAATAGGCAAGCTTTTGAACCTGGACTCACAAGAGGAGCTTCTGTATTAAAGAGGAACCAAAATAATTTAAAACAAGAAAGTAAAACAGTAAAGCTAGGAAATAGGACAAACGTGAATTTTGCGAGACAAAAATGGCGAGCTTTTGAACAAGGAGTCAAAGGGGGGTTTTCTATATTGATGTTGAACAAAAATAACTTAAAACGAGAATCCTATTGACAGAGGTGTTAAAATTGGCCAATTGTTGACAGACGGATAGACATCTTGTTTATATGCTGTTTATGTCATCTTCATGCAGTCCAGCTTAAAAATCTATTTGTAGTTGCTGTTGTTTTCTTCTTACTTCTTCTGATTCTTCTGTCTTTTTCTTTCACTCTGTCTTAGTTTCTTCTTCTTTGTTTCTGTTGTTGTTATTTTCTTGTCCTCTTTAGTTTCTTCTTTCTCAGTCTTCTTTCTCCCTATTACTTTTCCTCTTTGGTCTTGTTTGGTGTCGGGTCTACAGACTTGTGACTACACGTCGGTGGGTTAAAGCTTTTTCTACCGGTAACACTCCCCTTTGTCTTTATCACAGACGGATAAGTGAGTGATTGCAATAGCTCACCATGTGAGCTAAAAAGGGCCTTAATTTTTTAAGTTGGGTCCAATATTTGGTGGTTTTAGGGGCCCAAAATTGTTTTCCAATTTCAAATGTGTGCCACCCTTGTGAGCTCCTGGATCCGCCAGTGATATTCAACAATGCATTCAATACATTATTTCCCCGAAGAATAGAGATTTATTGGCAAAAAGACAATATATTGAAAACCTGACTGCCACCTGATCTCAAAAATAAACATTTTGTCAGACATTTTAACTTGTAAACAGTCTACGCATTATGTTAAATATTTCCCCGAAGTTAAAATTCTACCTTTTTAGGCCATAAAAGTATACAGCATTTTCTTCACTGAGACAAACTGAGAAACTACTCTGAACTGATGATATGAAAGTGAAGTAAAATTGTGGTAAGTTCAATAAATAGGTTCTGTTCTGAGAAACATAAATTTCACATTTTTACCAAATCACTTATTTTTGAGATTGTTCAGCTGATCATCTTTTTAATTTCTGCTAAACCTGTCTTATCCGAACACAACTTAAACTGGCCAAGTGTTCAGATTAGCAAAAATTGACAATACCGATGTTTAGCGATTTATGTCAACTGATCAGGTAGTTTCTAACTTCAATGAGAAACTTGTGTTTATGGATGTTTTGATTGCTTTGTGTTGTTTAATTGATGTCTTTTTTGAGCTGTGTCATATAAATAGAGGTGTCACGGTTTCCCGATATTGGACCGAACTTCGGTAAGAATGTTCAATGATTATTATATCATATTCTACATGGTCAAGAATGTCCTTCAGTATTTCAAACTTGAGAGAATCTTTTTCCAGAAAGCTACAAAACAAATACAGTAAAACCTATGCATCAAAAAACCTCTTTAATCTGAGACCTCTCAATGTGAACACTATTTTCTTAATCTCAATTTTGCTATCTCCCATTGACTGACATTTTGAGAAACCTTAAAATGAACCACTGCTTTATCTGAACACATTCCACAGGTCCCATTGGATTGGAAAAAAATTTCTAGGACAAAGATTCAAATTTGATTTCTTCTTTCAGATTTATCAAGAAATGGCAACCCTAACGGGCATTCTAGTAGACGTGTCAGAATCCATGGAGCGAAATATTGGTGGCCCAGTTGATGAGGAGGGTGGAAGCTGGGCACGGTCCATCTTCAAAGTCCTAGATGGTCTAATAAAACATGATGTTACTAAAAAGAATCACGTATTTGGCCTGGGAGTCGGAGCACGCTATGAACCGCAAGTATTTGACATGTTAAATACCATAAAGAAAGCCCAATCGGAATCTTCTGCTAACCGCCAGAGAAGAAGTTTGAGTAAATGGGGAATACTTAATGAAATATTATCCATCCTTGAAAGAAACGGCGCACCAAGAGTAAGGACATGGGCCAAAATGAATGTCTTGATGAGTGTTGTGACAGACACAGAAGCTAGTATGTTCCTTGGGAAACTCTTAAATGGCTCAGACTTCAGAAGAAGATTTGTGGATGAATGTTTACCAAAGGAATGCAAAGAACTCGAGCGTTCATTAAGGTCTTATGGTAAGGAAGGTCTTTTCTTCATGGGTGGATATTTTGATGGTGCCCAGGAATATGCCACAAAGGATGCTGTCCAGAAAGCAGTCGATAAAGGAAAAAAACTTGCCCATGAATTGTCTCTGGTTGGTATCAGTCCAGCCGCAGTGATGAATGTACAAAAGGCATCAGAAATACTACATGGGTCCATAGGTGAAGAGGAGGAACTTACTAAGCATCGTGTTGATGAACTGATGGAAACGGTGAAGCCATTTATATATGGTGGTACTCCCTTGATGAGAACAATGAAGGAATCTGTATCCCTGTTCAGCAAGCCTGAATTCAAGCAACACCATAAGCTGCTCTTTATTCTCTCTGATGGGGAGCCTGGTGATGGATATAACCCCCCTCTGAGGGAATTATCCAACTATGATGTGACAATAATATGTTGTTACATCACCAACAAAGCAATTGCAGATCCACGCCGCCTTTACAGTGTTGCATCTGAATGTTGGGAAAAACCTGCAAAATTCATGTTCAAAATGAGCTCCACGATCACAACACAAATGATACCACGCACAATATTTGTGAAACGAGGATGGAACATTGATATAGAGAACAATGAAACACATCTGTTCTTTCAAGTGAATCATCCTGATATGATCGAAGATGTTTGTGACCTGGCAAGAAATGTTGTGTGTTGCCAGGATTCACTTTCTGATATGCTCGCCTCAGTCTCCCTTGATCTCTACATCAACCAAGTCAACCAAGACTTCAGTGCCAAGGGAAATAAAGAAAGGGCATGTTACGCCAATGCCTCTGCAGCAGTGTTACACCTTGCAATGAAGCGAATTGTTGGCCGTGAAGGTGGCTATCCAGACTTCTTTGATCTGCGTAAACAGATGATCGACAAGAATATTGAGAAAGGAGTCAATGTATTGCGTGTGCTAGAAGAGATGTGTCTAGGATATCGACTACACTGCGAAAAGATGGACCTTTTGAAAGCTTTGAAAGCTATCACTGCAAAACGCCCAGTGCTTGTCCAGTTCCGACTGACGGATCATGAATGGGACTTATTCTCAGACTTTTACAAAAAACACCCTGATGGTATCTTAACAAAATCTGATCTCAATATCACACAACGTTCCTATGTTGCTGAAGTTATTGGCCATGCAGTTGTTCTCACCAGCTACAACGGTGAATGTTTGCGCATGATGAACTCCTGGGGCAGCGACTGGGCTGATGGGGGTTTCTTCAGAGTACGGGATGCTGATATCCTTGGCCTTGAGTTTATAGATGTGAAGTGGACCCAGGATGACTTAAAGCAAAGTGAGATTGATGCATACAAGCAGCAAGGACCTAGCTTGGCATCAAAACTGATGTCATCCCTGAAAGGTCTACAAACAGCGATGTACAAATGCCCTCTTTGCTCTAAAGAGTCAAAGGTTGTTGACTATAAAGGGAAACTCCTAAGGGTCGTTTGTCCATGTTGCAATGGATGGTTCAAAACTAAAGAGGCAGGAGATGACCTTGCCTTGAACATGTACTTGACCTCCCTCTCTCATTAGACAGTATATGTACTTTGTTTAGCGAAGAGGACATTTTACCCTTTCCAGTGCTCAGTGCTTTGAAGTAAATATCCAGAACTTAGAACTATGAAGTAAATATTTGATGCTTAGAATCATGAAGATATTCAATGCTTTGTATGCTAAGAAGATATCAAATGCTTCGAAGTAAATATTCAGAACATAATACTGTAAATTAAATATCCAATGCTTAGAATCTTGAAGAGAATATTCAAAGATATCCATGCATAGTATTTTGAATAGCCTTGCCCAAGTCAGGATTTTTTACTTATCTGATCTTGAATTATTACCGGCAGTCATAATAGAAATCAAGATAAGTAAAAGAGGCCAACTTGGGCAAGGCTATATTTTGAAGTAAACATTGAATACTTTGTACTAATTAAAGAAGATATTCAATACGTATTTAGAAGTTAATATTCAATGCTTAATATTCTGAATTAAGTATCCAATGCTTTGTATCATAAAATGCAAACTATTCAATGCACAGTCAGAGTATATCATTTCAATGCTTAGTATTGTAAATAAGATACTTTACTCCAGCTAATATTTGACGCTATTATATTTCATATTTTTGGCATTTTGAAACTTCGCGGCTATTATGTTTTGCTAATTTTCAGTTTTTTGAAATATTGCAGCTATTAATTTTTGTGAATTTCCAAATCTTTTAAAAAACTCGAAATATAGTAGCTAGTCAATATTACTGGGAGTATAGTGTGTAATGCATGCTGCTTAGTAGCATGAAGTAGAGATTCAATACAAGTAAATATTCAGTTCAGTGTTTCTGATCTTAAGTTGGATAAATGATTCTAAACTTAGAATCCAGAGACAGAGTTACTAAATCTTCAAATTCAAATCAGACCAAAATATTCATTCATTGGACAATTACACAAATATATAAGCACAAGTGCCAAAGGGAAAGGACCAAAAGCTGTAATGGAACTTAGCAAGAAAAAGTAAACTCTAAGTGCATACCAGTTAAGAAAAACAGACCCCATATGGCCCAAAACCATGATCTAACGTGAAAAGAAACAATGTCTTATACCCCCTTTCCCCCCACCATTCAAGAACCAATATCACAATACAAGACCAGAAGACCAAGGGACATTTCATTCATACTGAAGTCATTACAATACATATTGAAGAAAAAATTAGAAATTGATAGCCAATACTCATAACCTCAAAAATAGTTGTAGATACAAGTACTCATACAAGATAGAGCATTCAGTCTCAAATGATGTGGGATAGATAAAATCCAGTCTCCAAGTCCAAAGGCGTTTCAAAGCCAAGGGTCAACATCCATTCACAAAAGCCGTCGCCATAATCCATAAAACACAATAATTCACGATGGTCATCAGGAGAAAACTATGGCTGGTTTCGATCCTTATTTCTCAACCATTAAACATATTCAACAAAGTTCTCAGAAACAAAAATTCAATATCTGAATACCTAGAAAGATGGGAAATATAAGCCTTGATTTACAGTAAATGAAAATGCACCTTTAATGGCAACACGTAAAACCTTCAGCACACCTCTTTTGTGCCATATAAATTTTGTCTTTGATCATAACAAGACACACATGAGTAATAAATATAGCATTCTTTTATCAAAAAATTCAAAGTGGATTGGCCACCAAGTAATCTACCCAGCATGCCCTACCTTAAACCTAGTCAGATATTGGCACTTTGAAAACGTGTGAAAAAAATACTTTACATTACTGAGGCATTTTTGTAAAAAAGTAACTGTGTCTTTCTTGATCTGTAGAGTGAAATGATTCATTAAATTACTTAATAATTATAATAGAATGCTACTTTATTTTATTATTCAAACTGGGAATCATTTTTAGAATCAGGAACATGTTAATCTTTAATACAGTTTGAGGAGTAAATATTTCTGACTAAATTGTACTCACTTTGAGTCTGGTAGTGTAGGGAAGTTTTCTTCGAGCTCTTTGTCCCAGTCTTCGCTGGGTTGTACCCTTTGTGACTCCCTGTGTGAAGATGTCCGCCATGCAGGACCTGCCCGATTCTCAGAATATCTGTGAGAGCGATGACTGCTTGAACTACAATAGAGGAGAAACTGTCCTTATGAGACCATTGGTAAAAAAATAACTCTCCATAAAGATTTATGATATTTAAAGTAGAGACCAAAGGCCTATTGCTAAAATAAAAATTCGCCACCTGCCATTTGTTACAGATACCGAATATAATATATAATAACACTTTTGGTGGCGACATAAAAATGGGCTTAATTGATAAGCTGTTGGCGAACTAAAGATTTAAACTGGTTAAACTGTCATTGTGTAAATAAAAAACACTATGTTTAAAGTGTTCCATCTCACGCATGACCTCGAGAAGTAGCTGAACTTAAGTAGCAGGTTTAATGAATTTAGATGGATGAAACTGTCTAGCGGTTGTGTTGGTTTGAGGGTTGAATAATGTGGGTATCGACTTAATTTCATGTTTCCCTATATTCCATTTCCTCTCACTTAAACATGGCATTTGATTTAGTGTAGGAAAATAATATTTTAGTTTTGACATCAAGTATACTTTAGCTTTGGGTTCAACCATAGCCAAAATATCAGTGGGAACCATAATATATTTAGTACATATTTACATAAGACTATTTATACTATACCTATCTGGTTCATTGTAACCTCTTTGATCTCCATGCCTGTCTATTACCCAGTCATTGTGACCTCCTTGCCTATCCCTGTTCTCTCCTCGTCTGTCACCGCTACTCTTTCCTCGCCTTTCATTGTGACTTCCTTGGCTATCTGAACTGTTTTCTTGATCTCTCCTCCTTACTTTGTGTTCTCTTTTGTTTCCTATTGGACTCCTAAGAGGACTAAGATCTCCATCTCTTGAATATCTCTCATTTCGACTGAAAAATGTTAAGAATGAATGATTTTTCATGTTATGGACTGCCAACAGAAACAAATATTTTCCCATTTAAGTGTTCATTCCGAGTAACTTCTAATTATGCTAAGATATATCATAATAGATTTCCTACGAATTTGGTGCAGAAGCACATTGACATTGTCATTGCAAGTGCTGGATTATCTTATAAGCAAATAGGCCTAATCTACTCTGATAGTCTCCAAATTAGCCAAGCCCGAGTCTAGACTACTACTTTTTTCAAGGCCTGACTGCGTCGCTAACATGCTAAATATAAGAGTTAGCTGACGTTTGGGAGTCTGACTTACCTTCTAAAGGTTAGAACCCGAATCTTAATGAAACCATATCACCTTTGTTGCGTCGATGATGATGCATAAACATAGCATTTGATAGAAATTAGCGTAAATGCTTTTCCGACTTTTTCATTTTTCATCAATGTTGACTTCCGGGAAGGCGTTGTACTTATCACGAAATAACGCATTGACCCTTGAACTTTACTTTGTTGACGTGTCAACCAAGCATGTCTGGTGTGAAAATTAAAAGAATATTCAGCAATGTTCTACATCCGCCAAGCTAAGTGAAGTAGTCAATATTTAAAATTACCAATTTCAAGTGAAGTACGCAACGAACGAAACTGCGTGATCTACACTCCCACTATTGGTCTGAATGAAATGCTACGTAGAAATATGAGCCGTCTGCTGTATTAGTCGATTAATGGAGTAAGACCTGTTGGTGATGCTTTATAATTTAGACCAAAACATTGAAGAACAAACGAACCTTTAAATCGTGAAAACAACGAACAAATATTCGGTTTTCACATATGTTCGGTAATTTTTCGTATTGAAACTTCCGGAACTTACAAGGAAATCATTCATTTTCTCGATCCATGATTTACCTCTTGGATGTTGTGAAAAATGCTCCATGGTTGACGGAACAAAGGTGATATGGTTTCATTAAGATTCGGGTTCTAACCTTTAGAAGGTAAGTCAGACTCCCAAACGTCAGCTAACTCTTATATTTAGCATGTTAGCGACGCAGTCAGGCCTTGAAAAAAGTAGTAGATTCTAGTGGATGGAGGATTCTCTTGAAAAACCCAAAAAAACATCAAAAACTAGGTACACCAAAAACTCCTGGGCAAGCAACACAATTTGTTTTAAAGATCTATAAAATATAAATTCAATGAGTTTGTATGACAATATGATCCATTTAGCCTATATCATAATATTAAAAATAAACAAAACAAAATTTCTCACTTTTCAGAATTGTTTTGCCGCGAAAATGGACTTCGCCGTCTATTCCTTCTTTCTCTCTCCATCTCTGACCTTCTAGATCGCAATGTTTGATGACTAGACATAGTTGTAATAGATACTATAGTTTTGGTTTGAAATAATTGATAAATATTACCTAAATTGTTAAAAGCGTAAAAAGAAATGATATAAAACAAACTTGGAAATTTTTGATTTGGCGCCAACTTAGTGCGCATGCGTAGGTACATAAAAATGTACGACTTTATGAATATTCATCATGTTATCTATTAGCTACATACATGACTAAAATCTGAAATTTTTAGATAATTTGAAAGATAAATATATGATTTTTCACTCTACATTGCATAAAACTTGAATTGTTACTAGATTATAGGAGAAATCGCGCTTCAAAAACTGATGCTTTTTAATGCGCATGTGCAGAGATCGTGGCGTTGATTGGGGAGGTCATTGTTGATTTTCAAATACATGGCGGCGTAGGTTTGGTCGAGAATTAGGACGGATTTTCTCCTAATTTAACTAATTAGCGTCGCAATATAACAAAAGCATTATCCGTCGATGTAGCATTAAGCACTAGAGACAATTAGGAGTGGTTGTTGAAGGTGTAAGCGGTGTGAAGAATCAAGTTTAGAAGCGAATACGTGACAAAAAAATTGCGAATTTTTGTGACATCACCATCTTTTGGATCTCAAGCTGTGGCGTTTGTCACACATTTAGAACAGTGTGGAGTCTTTGACGAATGTTTCACATTGCACATATTAACTTGTAGATTCATCATCTGATCACATATTTGGTGGCATTGGATCTGGACTTTATATTGTGCCCTCCTACCTACAGTTGAAATGGATCAAAAATCTCAAACTGAGATGCCACTGAAGACATTATCTTTTGCGAATACATTTACATCCAATGATGCTCATTCAATGCTGTTTTCGCCAATGTCAGAACTTGCGTTCAATCTTGAAGATCTCACAACAGGAAGTGGCGGAAGGTAAATATGATTTGTAAATACTAAATAGCATAAGTGCGTCTTCTTGTTTTGCATCCAGAGCGTAGTTCGACATTCCATCGTTTTTGCAGTGAAACTTTGCACCATGTTTCGGTTCATATTACATTGCGACAGGGATGTGTTGTGTACCAATTAACCTTTCTTGATGCACCTATCTTAGGAACACGAGGAATTTGACAATATATTATATGGGTGAGGGCCTGCAGGATGTAGAAATAAATAGATGTTTAAGAGATATACTTGGTGACAAGACAAATACCAACGATACTTTGATATTGTTTTGGTGTTGAGATCAACTGTCAAAAATATTAAGTAAATGCAGTAAGTATGTAAACTTAGTAAATAATGCTGTAAATGCTCAAAGACAAATCCCGTAAACATAATTGAAAGGAGAAACTGTTGTTCTTTCACAAATCAACCCAACACAGGAATATTACTGAAAATACAACATATTTAAAACGAGCTTGCATCTAGAGTTTGGAGCACCGGGTAACTTTTCATCATTCGCAATGGTTATTGGATGGTTTTGTGATCTACGCATTCAGCATGTTTCAATCCTGAATATTTGACATCTGTAATTAGTGTTGTCACAATTAAAATAATATAGGGATGTGTTAATAGAAACATGCTTGTGGCTAGAGGACATCCCTTTTAAAAATATCATCCTTAAGATCAAGGTTTCTGTTTTTTGAAATGTCATTGGTTTTTGCTCATGTAAAATAACGTGGGATCACAAATATAACATTAAGACACATAAATAACAAAAATGTTTAAATCAGTTAATAAGATTAATGATTAGATATAGTTTCCTATTTTGTGTAATATGTGTTCATCGGGAACTTTTTTTTAATCAGGTTAGCAAAATTATAATTACGGTGAAGTATAAGTTGCTGCAACTATCTACAGTATCTTTTGATTTTATCATCTTATTCAGGATGTGAAAAAGTCAGATTCTCACATCGTAAAAATCAAGTAGACTGACTATGTATGTTCAGTACATGTGATCAGATGCGCTGTACTAAATTGTTTATCAAAACCATCACTTATGGCAACTAAGTCCTTCATGACCTGGGGATTGGCTGAAATATATGTGGTTAACTCCTTATCTTATGAATGTCAACAAAATAGCGTGGGTTTTGTAGGTTGAAGGACTCAAGATTAACTTTAAATTTGTTGTTAGATAAGTTAGTACTCTGCTTTAGTTGACATTGTTTGCCAATCACATTTCTGGCCTAAACGCCAATTTTGAATATTGATACCTGGCCAAATATTTCACGCGTTGGTTTTCAAAAATAGGCTATTGAAGCTAGATTTTGTTTGTGGTTGTGCCAATCATATTGGGATATTGCAGCTATTTAGATGCTCTTGGTATCAATTTTTCAATAATTTGTACTGATACAGTATTTTCTAAGTTTCATTGATTTTGGAGTACCGCTATTTTTAAAGTTTGGGGAATTAGAGTTTGTTGATTGTTGGTAGACTTTGTCCAGAGTGTAAATGGTATAATTTAGCAATCAGAATAAATGAAATATTGATATGCATATTACAATGAAAATATTTTCTGATTGAATCAATAGGATTTAAGGTTTGAAGAAAATCCAAATATTAAACCAAATGTTGGATGTTTGTATATAAGGTTATTGCAATTAGCAAATTTTCAGATTTCATACCTAGAAACTGACATTATTTACATCCCAATCATAACATTGACCTTGGAGTTAATCCCATGTTAATCAAGATTTTATCAGAAGAATTTCGAGGTTGGATTGTTTTAATTTTGGCTGAGTCAGTTTTGAGAGCATCCTGCTTCCAAGAAACAAGAAGGATGGGTCCGAGACGTCATTAGACAAAATCACTATAAGTGACAAATAAATAAATCCCTAACGTCTCCAACCAGGATTATAAATTCAAAAATTTTACATTGGGGATTAAAATTTAATTTTCGTCTCACTTTGATGATTGATTGGTTATGATTTAACGACTGGATGTATTTCTTTTGTTTCAGTTTACATCTCTCATAATCTCAGGTCATCTTGAGGACACTGTATGTACACATACAATACTATCAGTTGGTCACCTGCCTAAAACGGAAAATTAATATCAGTCTCGTTAACGGCATGTGCCAGTTGAAGAATCTTATCAATAATGAGCAGGGTTCTAAATTACTTCAAACAATGAACTTGATGGCCAGCAAATAATTAATATTAAATAAACGCAGTTATCTAGTCTGAATTTCCCTGATTGACCATTTTTAGCCAACTGCTACCCAATTTCCGAAAATTCCAAATATTCTGTTTAATTATGAACGTTGATTTCTGCAATTAACCAACGATGAAAGTCTGCTGCAATATTGCTTGTAGCAACAAAAGAATTAATTTGTGCAATGTGCAGCACCTTCTATGCAAAATCAGCTGTCTGCTGGCTCTTTAATCATGTCTTTACACAATGTGGTTTTTAAATTATAAAAAATACAAGGTGAAATTTGAGTTAATTTTTTGGTTGGCACAATAGCCAGGTGTTACATTATAAAAATTATCCTGTGTAAAACAATGTATGCTAATGACTACTGCAATGTGGTTTCTTTATGTTCTTTTATCTGTATTTTATGGTGTCTATAGACTAAAAAATAACTGGCATGAACAAAAGGACAGGCTTATGTTTTTTTGCACAGAAGCCAATCTAAAATGTATATCAATCAGCAAAAACAAATATCTATGATGGTTCTAAATCCCCATCATATATATTTTATTCGTTTGTTTCTGCTAATTACCCCACCCATCTTTGATAAAAGAAAAGAATACACATTGATAATCCTTTGATTGTTTACTTTTTGTTTTTTGTTTTGTTTGATCAGCTCAGTCAGCATAAATGTACAAAACCAAGATTTTTTATTTCCAGCTTCAGTACGACACCCAAGAAGCGACTGTCTCTGTCAGACTCTGGGAGCCCTACCCCCATACGTGCTAAATCTGGAGCTGTAAGACCATGTAGCCTGATCAGAAAACTCTCTGAGGATAAAGGTAAGCTAAAAGCAAGAAGAATTATTTCATCATTCAACTCAAAATTTTAATCATTTAACAGTTGGGGGGGGGTCGATATACTAGTTCCCACTAATAATAAGAATTTTTTAAAGTTTGTTTCCAATGTCATTTTGGTTATTATTTGAAAATTCTGGTGATGGTGACAATGTATAGATGTATTAAGGCAGATGTTAACAAAATCTAAATAACGAATATTAGCTTTGCCATGTTGGTTCATATTGGTCTGATAATCCTACCCTGATAAAAACTGACAGTAGGCAAGTAGGGGTTAAGATGGCAAGTAGGGGTTAAGATGGCTTAACAGCTTCTTCACACCTCAGATAGTTGGAACACCTAGTCTTAATATCATCATCGAGTTGGGCACTGTGTCAAGAGATGAAATTTACTAACCTCAAGTATCTACAACCCCCCCCCCACACACACACACACCTACCATTCATGATCTGAATATATTCCCAACTTCATTTTATTATTGAGATAAAATTTTCTCAATATTAACTATTATTATGACATTAGGGCAATGACATGTATTCACCATTATCACCAGCCATTGCTCAGGGCATACAGATCATCTTTAGTTTTCTAAATTTCCAATCCAAGGCAATAAGAGTCAATTATGCCTCTAGGATAGATATTGCTAAATCTTTTTCTTGTCTTGATTTTGTAATTACAAATAGAGCATTAACGCCTGATTTAACAAGGTTCCCGGGAAGTTTATGTGTTTGTCTTTCTGTATTAGACTATTGCATGTTAAACAAGGAAGTAAGAGCCAATATGTAACATTGGCTTGTATTAGTCGTGGAAGTCACAGTTTTGGAGAAAATGAAACAAATCATGTGGATTCATAGAGAGCTGTTTGTGGATCCCTTCGTTCAACACTGCGTTTTCTCGGAGAGTATCTCTATGGGGAAATGCAATATTTTTAATATTAGCTTATTTTAGTTCATCACCATTGTAATCACTTGAGATCCAACCAAGTGAACCAGCATCTTGTATGTCCACGTTTGTCCGCAATGATGATGCAATCGACCATCATATCGACTGCAGATGATGTCATTGTGTTTTTTGGTTTGTTGGTTTGTTTGGTAAATGATTTGTTGTTTTGTTTATTTCCTACTCAGAATTTTAATTGCACTATTTAATTGCACTTGTCCAAAGAAAGACACACTTCGAGTCACTGGAGACAAAAAACAATGTCTTAACTGGCCATGTTTTGCCAACAGATGAGCAAATTAGCTAATAATTAGCTATTATGTAAGATAGTTATTCTTGTAGACCAGGAATCTTCATGCTGGTCTAACAGATAACTAGTTCCTTGGTATATCAATGGTGCTGGGTCTGTTGTAGAAAACATCCCTGCCCCTGTGGCTACACATAGCAATCCAATTAATTTTAACAAGATTCACTTTAATCTTATCTCATAACAGCCAATTGGTCTCATTTTCTTCAAGAAGTATGGCTATATCAGTTTTTGGTAGCTAAGATGGGTATTTTTCAGCTCAGATATTAAATCCAATTTTTGGCTTTAAATCGTATCTCTTTTGATGTTCCTTGATGTAATTGAGGTTGCTTCAAATGTATTAATTATTCAATTGGGTTCTGTCATCTTTAATTACTGTATAACATGCAAGAATAACCGATTGTTACGAGAATGTAAAAGTACCAAATTACTCAATTTCTGAAATGATCAATTGTTGGTATCATGCAAAGATAACAGATTGTTACATTTCAAGAATGTAACATCAGGTACTAAATAACATAAAAGATGATCATTGTATCATGCAAGAATAACTGATTCTTACATGAATGTAACAAAAGCCCAAAAACAGGATCTTTATTTTACCATACCAACTCGAGGACTTAAAAGAAACTATACTCTTGATTTTGATAACACATACGCATATAGAAGTGAATGGATCTATGGACATTGAATATGCAAGTTCTGGGGAGAAACTGGAGACTGGACCAGATTGAATTATCATAGATTAGTAGAAGATAATCTCTGGTCTACATGCAGAGTAAGAACTGCTACTAGGGTTCTGTGAGAAATATTCCTGGTGAATTAATTATTCAGAAGTTGGGTCCTTAGTCTGTGCAAACATAAATCTTTGTCTCCATATAGCATACAAAAACATAATGCTGTCAGTAATAGCCAATAATTTTGTTTATTGTCATACGATGGGTCATTATATTTTCGTAGTTTTCTTACTATTGCATACAGTTTGGAAATACAAAAACATTACAACATGTTAATGAATCGTGAATCAGCATATGGTCTCAGTCACGCGATATTACTTTCATGCTCAAGTCCTATTTTCTTTTGTGTTTTTTTTGGAAACGGTTGGGTTGAAGTAAGTCAAGCATGATTTGTTACTTGACTTGCATTTCTTTGTTTATATTCCGTACTAGACATCCCACAGTGTCCTTCTTTCTTCACAGCTTTGTTATAAAAACAAACTGAATGAACTAGTGGTTTTTCTAATTCATATTATTGTATGTTTTAGGTTGTTTCCTGGACTCCCCCAGCCCTACAGAAGCTGTTGATCTTGAGAAAAGGTAAGGTTTTCATCATTATTATTAAATAAATGAGAGTTGGGTAATAGGAGACTGAAAACCATATCATAGCATCATTGATGGCACATGTCTCACCAACTCGAGTCTCTGACCACCCCCTCCCCCCCAAAAAAAATTATTTTGTTAGTAAGGTATTGGAAATATTTGATTGCCATCTGGACTTGGGATAAATACTAATTCAAACAAACAATATAATTTTCGGAATTATGACCTAATATCATAATCCAAATGATTGTTTTGGTAATATTAATATCTACTAAGCTTTATCCTTTTTTTATTGACTTTCAAGGATCTTATGTGTAATAGTCGTTTCGTTATATCCTGAATCTAAATATTTCTCATATAATATCACAATCCAATTTGATTTCACTATATGCTTGTTAATTAAACTCAAAATTAATTGCGAAAATTTTAAACCACATAAGACTTAATAAAATGCTTATCAGCCTAATTTTTGTGAAAAATGTAAGAAATGCTTGATTACAGAAAGTTGCACACAATGCCTCAATTCATATTTCAAAGCCATTTACTGTTTCTTGGCCAATAACTTGAAAGATAGTCAGTGGTATATCTATATCCAGTTAAAATCAAATGGGAAATAGCCAATATTTGAAAGCTTATTTTTAAAATTTAAAATAAGAACACGGCTTTATTTAACATCTCAGTTGTTAATTCACAGGCCTGGATTGAAGGCTAATTTCAGTTATTTTTGCCAGTTTTACTAAAATATTTGTTAACAATACTTTGTTTGTACAAACATCAATCAAGCGTTTTTTTTACTCAATTTCGTAACTTATCTCATTTTTCACAAAAATCCTGCAGGGTCTCGTTAAGTTTTTGAAACACATCCTGCATTTCCAAGTCCAAACAATCAACATTTGAATTACACGAACTGTTAATTACCTCTAAATAAATATGCAGTTATTGTTTGTGCAAGAGTTTCAATATACATTAGTATTTGTGACACAATATTGCATTATTTGTTGAAAGTGAAAAACAAAACTCAGCAAATTAACGAGTTAATATTTTGAAGTTTTATCCGTTACTCTGTTATGAAATAAAACCCAGATTCCTTTGTGCTCTCAGCTGCTAAGCATTGTTTGGTATTTTTCTAGCACATAGACTTCTCTGAAGCTTTTGACAGGTTAATAATATAACAGTAAACCTTTAACAATGCATCCTTGTAGACTCTTTAGAAATCATATTGTATTAAGACCCTTGGTTCAATATCAATGCAAATGGTTTAAAGAAATATTGGATTGGGCCTCTTACCAGGTCATATGTATGCATATAGCCTAGACTGGCGGGAGATTTTGAATGAAACTTTTGTAATGTTGACGCACACGACAGGTGCATCTAGGGATTTTAAGTGGCTCTTAATGTTTGTTATAACCCATAACTTACCACAATAAGATTTCAGTTTTCAGGTCACATTTCAAATATAAAGAAAGTGTAGATTATTTATTTTGGTGATAAAAGTAGACACAATACACTTTACTAGGTGCAATTAAATTGCCAATCAAGTAGTATCATGAATTTTGCTTAGATTTGAAAATAATTTCTATTTGTTATAAGTTTTAAATTAAGAAAGACTTAAGGTGAACATTTTCTATCCTCAATACAAACAGAGAATTTTGATCACTATTTTTGGTTAAATTTTCTATATCTTTGAGCAATCAGACATTTAACAAGATTATCGCAAGTGTTGTAAGAATAACATCCATTTCTTTGAGTCTGTGCGACTTCCAATCTTAAAGACCCTCCATGTCCTCGTCCTTAACATAAGCTTTTAAATAGATTAAAAGTCTGCCACTGTTCTAACATTTTTTTCATATTGTTATTTCAAGATAGTCTCACACATTTTAATTGACTATTGTTTTTCAAGCTGCAAAATTACAGAATAACAGCAAACCCATTAACAGGATTAAGTTTAAATACATGATTGTTGCAAATTCTTGTTATTTGAGAGAAACAAATTGGTGGCTTAGGTTTGCTCATTGCCAAACAGTACTCAGGTGAAAGTTTCGACATTGTTTTTCAAATCTTTGGGATTATAGCTCAATGACAAACCTGAGCTTGATGACAACTTGAGTCGTTAATAGAAAGGTTTCATAAATGCTAATTATTTGGATACTAATTTAAAGGAGAAACTTGAGGATTATAGAAGTCACATTGTTAGGAATAACACAGATAATCTTTTAGTTTGTACATGGACTCATATTATATAAGAAAGGATCACATTATCTTCAGTTAAATCATTACTGAGTTATCAACTGTCAAGAAGAAGTCAACATATAAGAATTCAGGACAATTCAACATTGATGGAAAAGGTAAAAAATTACGATTTGACAATTTCAGAAATTAAAGATAGAGTCAATAAAAGAAATATATGTACATTTCTATTAGATTAATCAATTGCAGACTTATAATTTACATCATAGGCAGATACGAAGAAATTGAAGTTAATTTCAGAAATGAGGAAATTGAAGTTAATTTTTGTAGATTTGACGTTTAATTATATTATTTATTGTTTCATTCTTGTTTAGTTGTAATTAATTAAAGTTCTTCAAAAGCACTTGTAAACTGTGGTTTCTTTGATGGGACCTAATGAAACTACAGGGCAAAACTAATTTCTAAAAGGATGCATAGCTGGAGTTTTGTCCTAATTTGGCATCACTCATTCATGTAAAATGACATCATTGAGTTGAAGTGTTCTTCCTGGTTCCTCAACTAATTTTGATCAACTCTGAAAAATAAACAAAATTAAATTTTTTTAAAGTTTTTAAAATTTTTAAGTTCTCACAAAGGTTCTGTATCTGATTTCAAGAAATTAAAATTAAGTGAAATTAACTTGGCTGATAAGAAAATACAATGAAAATTGCAATCAGTTCTGCATTAAAAGTATTGGATTCAATTCTCAGCAGTTTGTAACTGTCTTATAGACAGTCTAAGACATTGTTACCGCCCTGCAGGCAACAGAAGATAGTGCTAATGTAAATTATAATTGTGAAGAAATTGCATGGATAACAGTAAGATGTCTCAGAATCAGAGAGAAAACTGCATGTACATGATATGAATTAGTATCATTAGATTCATAATTTGGGCACTTGTTCTTATCCTAACTGTTGTTAAGTTCCAAAGTTCTTGTACAGAGTTTTACTTTGAATTTGAAGGTTGTTTTTCAATTTTAGAAATATGAACTCAGATGTGTTAAAATTTTTATTTGAGATTCAAGGAACTTTCAATAATTAAATATGGACTTAGATACCTTTATATTTCCTGGATTTACGTCAATGTAAACATCAAATAAATATTATTGATAAATTAATTGACAGATGATTAAAATTCAACTACATAAATAATCCTGTGTTGATTGCAATAATTCTTTAAATCTAAAGTTCAGTTTCTCACTTCATAGATATTTAAAGTAGGACTCATTAATTGTTGAACAAATATATGTGTATGATTACCATAATTACATATCATTTCTGTTGAATCGTACATTGATAACATTACATCACTGCAGGCGACCACAATTTGAGGATGCATTACTTCAAGAGCTTGGACACGAAAAGGAATTAAAATATTTTGCAGAACTTGGACAATATTTAAAAGGAATTTAATATTTTTTGCAGAACTTGGACAATATTTAAAAGGAATTAAATATTTTTTGCAGAACTTGGACAATATTTAAAAGGAATTTAATATTTTTTGCAGGTTTGCTAACGAAAGCAAGAGAGTTGATCGCAAAGTAAATAGAAGGTGAGTACAAAACTTTGACTTCTAATCATTTTATGTTTTAGATAAAATAAATGGGAAAATTAGTTTTTCGAAACTGAATTGTCATAAAAGGCTGAATTATTTTATTGATAAGAGCAAATATATTTTTGAGCATATGTTCCATGTTGGTTCACCAGGGCTGACTAATTAAGAGGTTTTTATAAGAGTTTATGGCAGGTTGGCTTTGTTCAAGTGATTTAATCTTTTTGTTGTTTTTATAACGTTCAATTGTTTTTCCTGTGGGATTAAGTTTTAATCTGGGGCACACTTCTGGTGCTATTTGCAGAATAATATTTTACAGGAAATAAAAACATTGTTGTTTCTACATGTGATTGTTGAAATTATAATTTATCAGGTCATATCCTTCCTTGAAACAAACTCCTGTCAGTGGACAAGGTGTCAGAATAAATATTTTTCATTGGCACATGCATTTAATCGCCTCTGATATTTCTGTTTTGATTTAGTCATAGGAATTTTTTCAAGTTCACAGATAATTATGTCAATGATTTTTAATATGCTTCATTGCTAAGATAGTCCTTAGGTCAAAATTGATTATCAAGTTGTCATTATGTAATATTCACAGATTTGGTTGGAGATTTACCTGTATGACTATGATAGTACTACACACCTGTCGTTATTTTCAAAATAATTGGGTGAACTGTGTTATATGGTTGAGTCGTTGAGATTATTTCTGATATGTCACTGAACCTGAGCTCTATCAGTAATTGACTCTACAGTGTCACTCGGTCACAACTGACTAGGTTTCATCCAAGTCATCACTGAGATGGTCATTGGGATAATTAACCAGCTCAAAGTGCCTTATGTCGCTATCTCATATTAGTTTTTTACATGGTGGCTTTAAATTTTTTTCATTTTGGTTGATTTGATTAGTGGGATCGATTATGCTGTTACCCTTAGGATGACCCTGCTTTGTTATCCTTAGGACAGATGTTTAACCCTAAGGGGTCATTAGATGTTCAGTATGAGGGTTTGAAATAAATTGATTAATTTATAATAATGTTCAGTGTTATACCAAATATGGTATTATCTAGGTGTGGTTAGTTTGAAAATATGTAGAAGTGTGACCAAAGTGTTCTGATTGGTTGTTTGAGCTAATTTGCATAAATGGAGGGAAATGGAGTGTGCCAGCTGCTTGGAGGGAAACTGAAAAGCTCATTAACATAGATGGAGGGAAGGAGAAACCATTGGTAGACAGCTGTTCATGTTGATTGGTCAACCCTCTTGAGACTATTACATATGAACTCCTAGGGTCATTTTCAGTTTTGGCTCCAGATTTGAATGCTTTGTTAATTGACATTATACCTTTTAAGGGTCATTGTGTACATAGGTCTACATTAGGACATGTTAGATACCACAAAGCAACCCTTTAAGTATTTGGCTTGCAAATAGTCAACCTGTGGTCTTTAAACATTGATATAGTATTCAAGTAAAGACTTAAAAGGATTCTGATTGGTACCATTGGTACCATTTGATTTATCTTGATTGAAAGGAAATACTGCCACATAGGAATATTTTATCAGTAAAACTAGAGAAATCTGCCTGGAATCAGAATCACAGTAAGTATTGATATCACAGCCAAAGATGATAAGTGCTAAATATACATGGCTGTTACTCTGGACTTGACAGCTCACACCAGTGGTGTCAAAATTCAAGGTGTCTTATAACAGGAATAACTAACCATTATGAAGGATGGAATCACTCAATATATCGAGGATAGATATTTGAAGGAAACTTGTTTTAATGGATAATCATTTTTATGAAATTACAAAATAATTTACCAATTCTCAATACTATTTTTAGGATCCGAAGTGCATTCCGTCGCTACAAGTCTATGCCCGTACCTGACACTGCTCACAGTCCGACATCACCAACCATGGGTATTCTTGCTGATAACAGGATCCCCGATGCCCTCACTACAGATCTCTCAAGCTCCGCAAGGTCTAAGCTGTCAATGGGAAGCCCGTTAGGAAAGCCATTGTTCTACATTGATGATGAGAACTCCAACTCTCAAGATAGCGGAATGGGATTTGACAAGGATAAGGTAAGACTGTGCTGACATCTAGTGAGCTTTTGAGATATTTCAACATTTGTAGTATATATCTGCTATAATTCAATAGATGTAGCTTCTATCTAAAAACTGTAAATATAAAATTGATTCAAAAATCAAATTCTGTAGAAATTAATTGTGTTTTTATTATTTTATAAATGCATACCATTCACAGGGCTATATTTGAAAAAAATCTTGATATTTTCACTGATATGCTTGGTCATAATATCAACTTCATGTGCTAATATGCGCCATCTTTTATCCAGGATGACTTCATGTTTGCCGCCCCTACAGCTCGCCCCAAGAGATCCCTCAAGTTGATCAGCGAAGACAGCTGCTCCCCATTCAAATATTCCCCTGCCAAGGGCAATGCTCAACTCCGTCCAATCTCTGCCCCAGCTAGCTCAACAGTAAGTGACACCTATTGGTGATTTACTACAACATGTTATCATTATATTATCAGTATGCATTTATGTGTACTTATCACATTACCAGTATATCGAAATGTTTCTTGATTTACAAAAAAAATCCAAAATACTACCTGACAGATTTTATATAAATGCTTGTTTAATCCATTATAATAGATTTCAGTAATACCATATGACCATCTGTTGCACAAAAGTTCTTAAGTTATTGTTATCGACTCCCACACTTGGTCGGAGCCAGGTTTCCATAATGGCCTACTCTGCGTTTAATGGCCTATTCTGTATCCGATAATGGCCTATTCTGTGTCATGTTGTCCCTACAGTTGTATTATTGCTGTTTTATGTTTTCTCAATTTATAATATTTGGCACTTCAAAATGCATAGATAATCAATTTTATGTTGTTTGTTTTGCTGTTTAATAAACTATTTAGTTATCTTTTCATATTTAAACATATCTAACTTTTATTTTTTCAAGCTTGATTTTAGCTGATATAGATATTGGTTAAAAAAATATATTTAGACGTAAAGTACACTGTAAATTTATAGAAAAATTAAACTTTGATACAGCATTATCCAATGTGATTCACAAATATTTATATTCAAGAAAACTCAGATGAATAATAATCATTCTAGCATACTGTAGTGCATAGACTTATGATATCATTCAATTACAGTTATTCGATAGCCCAGAAAAGGAAAATGAAGTGAGGGGCTTCTCTCTGAGGAAATCATCTCTCGTAAGCAGCCCTAATGATGACGATAATGATGATGGCTTTCTTGAACTCTGGGATGACAATGAGGTAAGTTGATATTCATCAGAATGCTTATTGAAAAATCAGAATGCTTATTTAAAAATTGTGAGGCTTATAAAAAATGGAATGTAATTAGAAAAATCAGTTATTTTAAAGTAACGCCAATATTGTATAACGGATTGTTTTTGCAGTTTGAATATTCTAAGTTTGTGTCTCTCAAATGATTGTATGATTTTTATTATTATTTCTTTGTTATTTTGTGTAACATAATTGGGTTTATTGGTTTAACATTTGTATTGTTGTATCTTAAGGATGCTGTACCCTCAGGACTTAGCAGCCTTCTTGGAGCTCCTATTTCTAGGAAGCCAGACACGGGTATCCCCACACTTTCATTCAGCCCAGCATGCGATGAACATGACACAGATAACTCCGCCCCAAAAACCGTAAGTACTTGTGTGTTGAAGATATTCCGATATTGCTCTTTTTTGTATTTTAAGTAATGGTCACTTGTTAAAAAACTGTTAAAATAAATTTCAAAATGAATTCATTGTTTTTGTAGCTTTTCTATTCTAATCTGTAGGATAAAAAAATTCAATTAAATAGGATTTTTAGATTTTGTATTTTTTATACTTTAGTCCAAAGTGAAGCTCTTCCGCTCACCGAGTGCACCCAGGCTGTTCCAACAAAAATCACAGACATTTGACATCAGGTCTCGTTTCAAGCGTTCTGAACCCACAAGAGACTTCGCCTCTCCCATTATGAACAAACGACGCAAGAGCATCAAGGACTGTGAGAGCATTGAGCTATTGGATGAGGTAGGTTCACTATTGATTAAATAAAACACTTTGTAAAATTATGAGTTTTCCCTATGAAAACATAACTTTCTAGGAATATGATCTCCCAATGCTATTTCTGGTATGTTTTTTCCAAAAATGACTCAAAATGTAGACCAACAGAGTAATCCTTTTATTTGTAATATTGTATATTCAGTAGAAAATGAAAATGTAATAACACAAGACCAAAAATTATGCAGTGCTGAAACAATAAATAATATAACATCTCATGTTATTTTATTTATATATTTATAGTCACCAGCCAGAGCTAAGCTTCAGAGATCTTTCTCCATGGTTGAAACCACTTCACAAAACCACATCAAAGATGCCCTCTCCAAGAGCGCAGTGGAGCCAGATCTGATTGGAGACTGCAGTAAAACATACTGTCTACCCACTATCAAAGGACGCCACCAGGACCTCAAATCCATCACTGCTGAAACCATGTCAAAGCTGCTTAATAATGAATACTCTCATGTCGTCGAGAAGTTCATGATCATTGACTGCCGCTACCCTTATGAATACGAAGGAGGCCATATAAAGGTACATTTTACATCTCAAAAAACTTTTTTAAATTCTTAAATTAATATTCAATAAGAGAACTGTGTCCATCTTTAATGCAAAATTCAGTATAGTTTTGTGAGCAAAATTACAATATGATAATGAATATTATTAGACTCAAAAAAACTAAAAAAAAAACGATTCAAAGATTTTTAATCAGTTGAATTCATCATTTGTTTAATACAGCTCTGATCCTCTTAACTTTGTACAATATCAATATTATTCAATATTTTATTCGGAAATTGTTTAATTTCAGGATGCCAAGAATTTGTACACAAAGGACAAGATCATTGAAGAGTTTTTAAAAGATGGCACTCTACTCAACCAACAGACGCCAGTTGAGTCATCCAGTGAAGACGATAAACGAAACATCATCATCTTCCACTGCGAGTTCTCATCGGAGAGAGGCCCAAAATTGTAAGTTTACAAATAAAATGTCTTGATATTCTCTTTATATGTGAAGTCATCATGTGTTATTGATATACTTCAGCATCATTTTGTTTTGAGATTTATTTGCATGTGAATTTTTGATGCTTTTGTTTGGCATTGATGAATAAAGGTTATGTAAGAACAAATGCACATCCTAACTTTCAAACAACATTTCCTGTGTTAAAGATAATAGATAAATGATAAATTACATGAGTATTTACAACAGCAACTGATTTATGTATTTCAGGATGAGGTTTCTTCGCAACAAGGACCGTGAGGCTCATAAAGATATCTACCCCGCCCTCAAGTTCCCAGAAGTCTACCTCCTTCATTTGGGATACAAGGAATTCTTTGAAAATCACGATGTAAGTATAGGCAACATATTGGGAATGTTTGAACTCCTATGCCAAAATACTATATGGACTTACATGATATTGGTATAGAAGATTCACCATCCTTGTCTCTGTCAATTTGATTAATAATGTCTACTGTGAACAACTGAACAATTGTAGATTTCACAGACACCATTGTTATGAACTTAATCATGTATTGAGAGATAAGATAACAGTTTATAGATTGAAAAATTGTGTGTCATATTTTCATGAATTGATTTCTTTGTCTTTGTAATTGTAAAAATTCAAAAAGTAAAAGGTTTATGACTGATGCAGAAAATAACCTTCTTCGGTTTTGGTACATCCATGATTTGTTGAATTCTCTATATGTGAATATTTATTAAACTTTGGTACATTTTGTGTTTGCAGGACCAGTGTGAGCCCCAGACTTACAAGCCTATGTTACATGAAAATCATTCACAAGACTTGAAGCACTTCAGAGCTAAATCAAAGTCATGGGCCGGAGCAGAGAAACAGAGAGGCGCTTTCAGGCCAGGCTTGAAATTTTAAAATATGATGTGCGTCCCAGATTGAATTATTTATTGACGTTTTATTATGCATGAACTGGATGATATTGACGATATTCATTATCGTATATCGTGATTTAAATTTGAGAACATGACATGTTATTGGAGCCAAAGATAACTAATTGTCGCAGTGTGCGGAAATATACAAACTTCACTATTTGGAGCCAAAATTGCTGACTGACAGACTGTCGGAAGACTTAATATGAACTTGCAAGAAAGTGTGTAATATCACGATTTGGAGCCAAAGATAACTAACACAACTGCAAGATAAAGATGTTTGAAAAGTACAAAATGATTCATTTATTTGGAGCCAAGGCTGAGTAAATCAAACATCTATTGAGTTTGCATTTGAAATTACTTTTACATAGAGTATTGTAATTGTAGTCTTGTAGCATTTTGATTTACTCAGCCCAGATTTGACCCTTCCATTGTAGTTTATACATCACTATAGCAAGTAATTGAACAGGGGTGTGTAATGTAAAATGTCTTGTGTATTATATACACTGTACTCAAATGAGTCTCAATTCAATTATACATTAACTTAAGTTTGGAAACATTCTATTAATTTTATAATCAAATTTACTATTAATTTAGTTGAAAAATGATGATTTGTTCTAAACAATGCCAGCGTTTGCTAACAATAATTGAATAGATATGCATGTAATATTTAGTACAACAGCTCAAAGTGATACTCAATTTAGTGATCTCATCACGACAAAGTCGCAAAGTCAGTCTCAAAAAGTGATCTATTGATGATCAGTCTCGAAAAGTAATCTATGTATGATCAGTCTCAAAAAGCGATCTATTGATGATCAGTCTCAAAAAGCGATCTATTGATGATTCATCTTGAAAAGTTATCTACTCATGATCAGTCTCGAAAAGCGATCTTTTGATGATAAGTCTCGAAAAGCGATCTTTTGATGATCGATAAAGCTCACATTAAACTGACAATGGTTACAATAGATCTCAATGTACATACTTCAACTTAGGTTCAACTTTTTTCCAAAAATACGCAGAGGGCATTTCACAAACATATCATGGATCAATAATGTATTTAATTGCAGTAAAAATTCGACGTGAATTGGGATATTTATGATATGTCTGAGAAACGCCCATCAGAATTAAGATTCTCTGGCATTTATTTGTAATGAGCGCTTTTTAAACATATTTTTAATGTGAGTTTGTTCTGTATAGTAAGGGTTATAGTTCTAATATATAGGAAGTATAGTTCTATATATGGAAAGTGTATTTCTGTATATGGAAGGTATAGTCCTTTATATGGAAAGTATAGTCCTATATACGGATGGTATAGTCCTACTTATGGATGTTACAATTGTATATATGGAGGGTATAGTCCTATTTATGGATGGTATAGTTGTATATATGGATGGTATACCTCTCTCTCACCCATATTGCCAACAAATTGTACAGTAAATCTATTGGAATAATAATGAGGAAACATAAATCAAGTTGTTTTACCAGATAAGAGAACATATGTAAGAGATAACAAAAATCATGAAATAGTTATGACTTCAGTTCACTGAACCTGAAAGTAAGCGTGTACTCTGAAATCAAAATCTTTGACTAACATACTAGTCAGAAGTTGATTAAAGCGTGTACTCAAAAAAATCTTTGACTAACATACAAGTCAGAAGTTGATTAAAGCGTGTACTCAGAAAAAATCTTTGACTTACATACTAGTCAGAAGTTGATTAAATATTAAAATTAATTGAACTGAACTTATTGAGACAACTTAGAGATGAATGAATCTAGAAATTGGTATTATTTTTCTGTTCAAGGCAATAATTTTTTACATGAAAATCTCTCATCTGGTAGTATATACTTGTCACATAAGCATTTTCCTCGGATGATGTCATCATGTCCCGCTCATGTCATCTTTGTAAATATCTCACATACTGACGTGGCACATGTATATGCACATATCTGAACATATAGGACTTGTAAATAAATACAGACAGACATACATACACAGAAACACATTGGTGGCATATATGTCATTTTTAATATATAACTTCAGTATAATCATGATTTAAGTGTTTTGGATGTATTCCTGCACATTGTATCATCATGTTAAAAAGATTTTAACATTTATTTTAATAATTTTATCAGTTCTTAGGGTTGATTTTAATTATTTATTCAAGTAATATTTAGCTGTAAATACATATGGTAGGATAGGTTTTATTTTGTGAAAGGAAATTTCCTATTTTTGGATCTTCACTGGTATTGCTTTGTATCAAAAATTGCACTCTTATATTTTATACCTGGATTTTTGGTTTGGGTTTCATGTATCCAAGAACATTAGGGTTTAACTAGAATTGGTAATATGTACAATTCAAATGCAGTCAAATATCCACCTACTGGTATGTCGGCATAAAACTACATGTGTGCATGATTTAACATTTTATTATGTATTTTTCCTAATCAGTATCACAAAATTATCGATCATATTTTATAACTGCAATTGCTATGTTAATCGACAAAGATTTGTATGAGATACGAGATACTGGTATATAGAATGTGGTTCTTTCTATATTGTTTTACTTTACATATACGATTTAATTATAGTACACTATTGTAGACTCGATTGAACACACACATGCACGCACCCATAACATATTTTATGGTCATTGTAACAGTACAAATAGATAATTTATGACTCATAAAATACGATGTCATTGTACAATGTAAAATGTAAAATAGAGGTCAATTAATATATTATTACTATTACATAGAATCGGATATCTTGTGTTATAATCTGTCTTCGTATAACTTGGAAATCGGCAGTATTTTGATGTATTGCACATCTGTTTCTGGCTTATATATCTCCACCAATATGAAGTAACCAATGCGGTTGCTTTCACAAAGCATTTCTATGTTTAAGTTCTATTCCTTGGTCTATTGTTCTTGTTGCAGTTTCATTAGTTTCTATGGTAACAATAGATTTAGGATTTTTTCTGTTAAAAGAGCATGTTTGAGATCCCCCTCCCCTCAGACTTGATTATTAACTGGGACTTTTTACATAAAACAAATGGACCCAAAAGATATCCTACTATGCAAATGTTGAAGAATTATTCTCATTTTCAAATGTTGTTTCCAAGAGAATATATCTCAAGTCATACCATTTATTACATAATGCAAGCTTTGAACGATATAAAGAAGTATAGGACATAGTGTTATTTAATACCCTGAACACTAGCCAAGTATTCTTTTCTCAGGACAAAAACTCAAATACTATGTATGAAAGCTCGGGTGCAATCTATTCTACACAATTTCAACGGAAATGTCAGAGCATTGAGCTGACATGTACAATGCACTTAATGACATAAAAGCACAAAATGCAATAAAAATGTTACAGCTTGGAAAGATATAAAACCATTTCAAGGTCTGCTTATCGCAATTAAAAACTGCTGTATTGTCAGATTGTCGTCTTATGCTGATGTGCATGTGGGTTCTCCAAGAAATGAAATTGTTACAGATGCAAAAGCATGCACATGTTGACCCAAGATCTGGTTGCGGGTATGCTAGATATTATAAACAAGATGGATGTTGATCTTTATGTGTGACGTTCAAAAGTGAAGTCAATGACTGCCATTGGGTAATGCAGTTTATTCAAACAATATTATCTGTTAAGGAGGAGAGTTAACTGTTTTATGTCAGCCCATGTGCTACAGTCTGTAAGCCATGGTTTAGCATTTTACAGCCATTACAGCCATGTGTGTTTTGTTTTGTTCTGGCCAATACAGCCAAGACAAATGTAACAGAGAAAGAGTCCGTGTAATCAGTAGATGAGGTTCAAGGTTTAAATGACTTACTTGGGACTGAACTTGGCATTTAGGGATAATCTCATTATTGTACTGATGTCTGACCCTAAAAGTCATCATCCAAAAGAGTGCTTGTATACAATGTATGGAATCTGACTTTGATGTGTCAAAAGGTGGCATGTTCAAAGACCTTCTGGGTGAGGTCTACTACTCAAATGTTTCATATCCTGCCTTATAGCTCAGGATAATTTTATGTTTTAAAAATTACATCTCATGCGTATGGTGCATATGGGGTCCATTCTTGATGTTATCTAATCTATGATATCTAGCAAATTATTGTCTCCTTTTTGATGAATTGGACTGACAAAATCATAAGTTACAACAGTTTGGGAAATAGACTCATGGGTCTACGTCTGTTTCTTGTTATACATAACTAAATAAAAAAATATGGGTCCAATCAAAAATGGCAATGCATATCATTGGAATGGTACCTTTTCAAATTTGGAGCCATGGGATATTACTTGGGAGTGTGACACATATCCGAGACATCACACGTTTTGAATTGTAACAATCAATTTACATTGAACTCAATGAAATAAAATTCCCTATTGATTTTTCAACATTTAGATCCGGGTTGAAATATCCAGACCTATGTCACCACAAAATAGAGTAATTAAATAGTTCATTTTTTCATGTTTTAAATAAATATATGACTGAATAGATGAGTCATCAAACCATTACATTTATAGTTTAATAAGACAAAGCATCAAATTATCAATATAATTTATTATATCAATACATCTACAGCTGCTAATGTACACATATTGTTGCCGATAAGCCTACCACAATATGTGCCCAGCTCCAATAGGACATTTCCTAATCCCAATGCAAAATATAATTGATTTTCCGCAACATACTCTTATGCAATTAAATGTGAAAAAAATATTTAAAAGACATGCATGATTCCTTATCAACTAACAATGGATAACGCTAAATTTGAAAATTATTCGAAGCAAGTGATGACGATGAATTGTGGGAATGCCGAGACATGCAAACATAACGCACAAACGGATCAAGCGTAATTCCAATAAATAAAATACAACAAATCATAAATGACGTCAGATAATTTTATTGGTCACTGAATGAGTAAATGTCATTATTTCTGCAAACGATATACTCTATATTGAAACAATTAACTAGAAATAGGAGTGTATTGTCGTAATGATAAATGGAAAACTGTGACATATTGGATGCCTAGCAAGAACAAAATAGGACTATGATTTCTAAAAAGTTGCTTAAAATAGGACTATGATTCCTACAGTGTTGCTTAAAAGGACTATACTCTCTATAACATTGCTTTAAAAGAGGACCAAGAATTCTACGATGTGGACTTTTTACCCTTGCATTAAAGCTACTTTAATTCCAGAGTTGAGCTGGAAGATGTTATCGATTCAACAGGTGGTAGCGCTGAAGATGGGTTCTCTTTTGCTAAGCCACTCTTACAAACCTGCTTGCTGCGGCTGGTGACGTATTCACTTTGTATAAATGTTATTTAAGTGTTTGTTATAATATAATATTACAATGAAACCTGTATATCAAAACGCCTCTCTAATCTGAACACCTCTCAATATGAACACTTTTTCTCCCTCATTTTGTTATCTTGAAATGTGAACACCTGCTAATTTGAACACTTTTAGCTGGTCTAAAATTAGACAGGTTTTACTGTACTATTATACCCTTACTGTAAATGTGAGGAGACTATGTTCGATGACATCAAGTATTGTATGGAGTTGATGATCATTAAAGGGAGAATGTCACCTAGGTTTCTCTTCAACACAATTAGTAATGTCCAATTATAAATAAGGGTTATGTACTGGGAGGTTTTGGATAGGGGGTTTATCCAGAGGGAGATATGGATATCTACCTGAGGGACCGTTTGGACCGATGTGCATATCTCACGAGGGATGAACCCAATATCCAAACCGACCATACAT